TTGACAGTGTAGCTTTTTCATAAATCTGTTAGCATCATTTCTGGTTTCCACACAGTTAGCAATACTGATGACAACGTATTACTTGAGAACTTAGGACCACTTATCGGCGATTCAGTCAAAATTCCCAGTTTAATGGAAAACTGTTTACCTGATTATTAGCAGTATTCAATGCACCTCTCATGCTTAAAAATACGTATTTATTGGCGGCATAATGAAGTTAGTGAAAACTCCACCAAGGTTGAGGCAGACAATGGAAAAAACATAGGCATAATACGAATCCCGAAATTATGAAAAGAATCAGTTTGTTGGGATTCTCTATTTGTTTCAGATTGTACTACAGACTGATATCAATTAAAGGACCATTGAAAACCAAGGAGTACTATGGGACTGTTTCACACTAGTTAGGACTCTTCAATAGCAATCACCCCTGCGTTTCGAACTCAGGACCCTCTAGTTGCAAGGCTACCTTGCATACCATTCAGCCATCGGGATCCGTTAAGTCGGCCGTACGGATACAGTCCCATCGACGTCCAGCGACTTGCCGTCGCTCGAATTCTACTTAATTTGTCGTTGCATTCTGAATAAGAATATATCACACCGTGAAAATAATTTATTCTTTTGCACAACTGGCATGTTATCATATTGTTTGTGATGTAGAGCGGAAAATGATACTAATTGTAATTTCTTTTGTTATGTGCTTGTTTGAAAGAAGAATATAAGGCTTTTCGTGTAAAGGTGAAGTCCAGAGTACTCATATTATATAAGTAATCTCGTGTTAGTAATATATTAGCAAAACCAAATCCACACTATGTCTAATTCTTTTCACTCTGATATGGTCAGTATCGAGTAAGATAATTAATTTTACAAAAAGATAACAAAAATGTCACAAAATCATGAGCACACATTTCAAATCTGCTGATGTTATTAGGATCCAGTGATTAGGGGTGAACTGTAGCTTCACTTACCACAAAATTATCCGGTAAATTTATTCCAAAATGTGAAAGAGATGCTGTAGTGTGGAATCGCGTATTGCATATTGTTGTAATGTGAAGCTCCTGTTATGAATCATAATTCATGTCTTTATGAGACTGAGGAAAGACAATAAAGCTTTCCATGTAATGTGCCGGGCAACATCTCCGCCCTTATTCAGCAAAAGACACTAGAAAATTATCCAGTTTGCTCACTGTGTCTATTGTCGGATATAAATAGTTTATAACATCCTGGTAAATGAAAGGAATCAGACTGATTAAAACACCGTGTGAAAATGAACGTATTATCACGAGGTAAATTAATGTCAAGTGGTCCAAAATATTACATTAGTTACTCAAAAAGCGATTGCTGAAAATATCAGAATAAACAACAAATATCATATATTCCAGTTAAACATTTATGAACACTATTATACAAATATTTGCATGCTGCTAAAGTATCCGATATACAAAAATAAAATTATGTATAAATTCCTCCAAGGTATATGTGAGTAAATGGTTGGAAGATAATTGTATATTGCTTAAATACAAGGAAAAATTACTATTTGACTTGTTGAAACAGTGAACAATCGCATCTGGGTGATTATCTTATGTATTAAAAATGTAAAAGACACTCAAATCATACAATAAAAACCCTACACATCATAGATCAATACGTCACCAACCATATGTAAGATGAACGAGAACAGGCGTATTTATAGACATTTTCAACCATCAACGTCGGCAGTCACTGACAAAGATATCTGTATTGGTTGATAGACTTTCTGAGATACAACAAATTGCTAAGATTTCGTCAATGCGATATATTGTAGTTAATTAAAGCGTGTTTATTTCATTGTTGAGTTCTGCAGAAGAATTGACCACATCTTAAAATGGACTAACCTACCTGGACGAATATGAAATGTTTATATGGTGTGCCGACTGTGGTGCATTTTGATTGGAACTGTGAAATTTTTCGTTAGGACATTTTCTGAAAGAAGACTTCGAGGTTATCCATGTGCGTGTGAAAAGGAGCAGTTCTGCTTTAATTCACAGAAAGACGTGATGGTGGTTGATTTTGTCTAAGATGTCAGTTGTGGTGTGCATAAGTTTTGTTGTAAGGTAGTTAAAAATTGATTCAAGCTTACTTGTTAGTATTTCAATAGAATGTTGAGAAAGTGTTTTATATTCTCAATAACCAGTGACCTAAGCTCCCATTCTCCAAATCCATAGCCAATGCGGAGGACGCCTACTGTGGTTAGTTAAAGCTATGGGACAATACACTGTGGTACCGATCCATTGATGCAACGTAATTTCTCTTGCTTCAAGTGTGTGGAATTTATTGTTGAGTTGTGAAGAAGGATGGACCACACTCTAGAAATGGATTACCACCATCGTGTGTGAATTTCATGTAATCATAGAGTGTGTTGTGTATGACAGTTTGTGACATCAAGTGTAACATCCTTCGATGTGAGATTGTCAGAGAGGCGGATGTGTGGCCTTGCATGTGAATGAACAACGTGATGATTGGGCTTCAATCGGAAAACTAATATCATTCATTCTGTGGAGGGTGTTTTCTTGTTCCGCGTAGATGCTATGTGATGTGATAGTGGAAGTGGAATTTCAACTGATTTGCACAGAACACCGATCACTTTCGTTGAGAGATAGGTTGAATAGTAAGGTGACATTGCTTGGTGATTTATTCTCATGTAGCCGGATTAGTTACGCTTTGTTGAGTGGGATATGGTGCTTTGCAGACTTTAAGATAAAAACCTGTTCAACGTTGAAGTAAAGCATTTGTTGGATTAATATTGTCGCATCAATTTTCATCGGTCTATAAGTTGTTAAATCAATCAATCACATTTTCATTTTTACTTGACTACATTTTAACGAATAGGAATACGTAAGTAAAATACATCATGGATGTAATAATTTCTAGATAAACCCTAACCCTGAATACGAAAAAATTCATACTCTTCATAATTCCAATCGGTTTCACTCTGTGCTTTCCTTCAGGAACGTCAAATCAGTATTTGATATCGTATCTGAAATAAATTATCCCACTTCTTCCACTGGGTTGAAAGCTATCACAGTTCATGACATGGCAAAGTGTCGAAAACGCATACCCAAAATATGACATTTTGTGGATTCGTTTGTCTTGTTGAGGTTAATTACAGCCATGCTAAACCATACTTCTATGATACTTTACTAGTACGAGTAAGTCTTGTTGATTTGATTGCGTGAGATATTGTATTCTGTTAACGTGAGGGAAACACCACACTTATTATTATTATTGTATCCTTTAGTTCTAGAGGAACATAGGGCTTCAGCTGCGCACCTCCATTGCCTTCGGTTTCCTGACAACTTTTTCACCCTGCTCCAGGTCTGTCCACATGCTTTCATCTCCTCCTCGCATGACCTCCTCCAAGTCACTCTTGGACGACCAACTCACCGCCTCCCTTTCGGGTTCCACTCGAGGGCTTGTCTAGTGATGTCACTTGATGGTTTCCTCAGCGTATGGCGCAATCCATCTCCATTTCTTCCTGCCTATTTGTTTCACAATCGGTTCCTGCCGGGTTGGTTCGCTCCCAGAGATCCCTGTTGGTGATCTTTTCTGGCCATCTGACCTTGAGTATTGAGCGAAGACAGCTGTTAATGAAGGTCTGAAGTTTGTTTGAGATGCTTTTTATGACTCGCCAAGTCTCTGATCCGTATAGTAGCACTGACTTCACATTGGAGTTGAAAATCCGGATCTTATTTTTGATGCTGAGTGCTGTTGACCTCCACACAGATTTGAGAGTAATGAAAGCTTGTCTTGCTTTACCGATTCTGGCTTTGATGTCCTCGTCAGTTCCGCCTGTAGTTGAGACGATGCTTCCCAGGTAGGTGAAGGAGGCTGTTTCTTTCAGGTTCTTCCCACTTATGCTGATTGTTGTCTGTTGTTGTTGTTGCTGTTGATGATGGCTAGGAATCTTCATCATCTCTGTTTTATCTATGTTCACGTGAAGTCCTATCTTTGATGCTTCTTCTGCCAACTTGTTACTTTTCACTTGCATATCTTCCAGTTTATGGGAAATCAGACATATATCATCGGCGAAATCCAGATCCTCCAAGTCTTTCGTGTCAGTCCATTTTATGCCTGTTCCCTCGTTGGTTGCCGTTGTCTGTCGCATTATCCACACTATAATATGCGAAACCACGATTCTGTAATGAAAATAATATCTGAACTGTCTGTGTCATAACGTTCATCAATTTGTTTTAAGCTATTGAAGAATGTAAACGCAACATGACGATGTCGTTTAATATTAGTTGATCCTGAAGCATTATTTTCTCAGGTGGTCAGTGTGAAGTACTAACATGTTCATAAATACCTGTCATGCATTCCAATTTTCACCTTATCATTTGTACTCCATGCATACGGCGAAATTATTAAGTTTCTGCATTGATGAATATATCTATAAGTTGTTTTGTTGCCCATTGAATATATATGAACAGAATCAGTTAACAGAATATAATTCTGATGAAATGTCAATCATAATATAGAAAACGTTCATTACATTATTATGACAAGTAGAAGTGTTATCAGAATCAACACATCAGTGGTTAATTAGAGTTTTAAGAAAATCGATAAATATCAGGTTGATTTAATGCAAAGGAAGATTACTATTTGACTTGTTGAAACAGTGAACAATCGCATCTGGGTGATTATCTTATGTATTAAAAATGTAAAAGACACTCAAATCATACAATAAAAACCCTACACATCATAGATCAATACGTCACCAACCATATGTAAGATGAACGAGAACAGGCGTATTTATAGACATTTTCAACCATCAACGTCGGCAGTCACTGACAAAGATATCTGTATTGGTTGATAGACTTTCTGAGATACAACAAATTGCTAAGATTTCGTCAATGCGATATATTGTAGTTAATTAAAGCGTGTTTATTTCATTGTTGAGTTCTGCATCGGGTTTAGGTCTAATTCCCATTTTTATTCATCTGAATTTTTATGTTAAAAAGGAGGATATGGTTAGTATATTTTTAATTTTGGATGTAATAATTTGTCGATAAACCTAACCACTGAATATGAAAATTTCATAATCTTCATAATTCCTATTGGTTTCACTCTGTGTTTTCCTTCAGGAACGTCAAATCAATATTTGATATCGTATCTGAAGTTAATTGCCCCCCTACTTCTACTGGGTGAAAAGCTATCACAGTTCACCACACGGAGAAGTATCGAAAACGCATACCCAAAATATAACAGTTTGTGGATTTGTTTGTCTTGTTGTGGTTAATTACAGGCATGCTAAACTATATTTGTATGATAATTCTCTAGCAAAAGGTAAGTCTTGTTAATTTGATTGCGTTTATTATTTTATTCTGTGACAAACAAGGATACTTCACACTATTCAAATGAGGTGTCACGGCGTCTGCGAATCGTATGTATTCACAATGTGTGTATTTTATGACTGCCGGTGACATCGATAATAACTTCTTACCGTTTGAGTTTGTATTGTACGTGAATATAAGGCTTTGCGTGCGAAGCAATTCGGTCGCTGTTGTCTATGAATTCATAAACTTATATAAGATAATTAAACTTTCTTAGTAGTAAATTTTCTCCTTCTGCACATGTATAAAGCAGAATTTGTTTCCATAAGACACGATGTTTCTATCGTTTATATTGTATCACACTGTCATTATTTGAACCGTAGATTGTTTTTTTTCATATATCTCATAAATTTATCATCTAGACTGGGAGTTTCTATCTATCCTGTTCTATCACTATCAAATCCTAGTTAGCTTATTTTGACATCCATGAGTCACTCTCTAAAGTGATTATTGATTTAGTAAAAGTCATGTAATCGAAAGGAAAAATAATTTCTTCATTATATCCATTACTTTCCAAAATGGACAGGGCATGGTAAGATAATTTCAATCACTACGGAATGATTTGAAATCCTATGCCTAAAATATGATTAGTTGTAAATACATTCGTCTCCTTGATACCTCACTAGTGAGCGTACTGTTTATTCGTACACCAGAAATATTCTGAGTCAAACTACAATTTTTGAAATGAACCGTCGCTGGGAAGGATGACCGTTGTTGATTAATTTAATCCATGCTACAACATACTAAGTTAAAACGTCACTAATGCAGCGTAATTCTGGTCACCCAAAATGTATGGAATCTCTTGTAATGTCAAGTAGACGAGTGAACCACAAGGTGGAACTGAATTATTGATATAAGTATAAAACTTGGGCACTGCGGTAGAGTTTTACTTCATTATGGATAAGATTTTATTTTGACAATGTGTCACACAGTGTTGTACAGTGATATATACTGATGACGTTTCGAGCACAAATAATTGCCACTCATAATCATATCGTCACTCACACAACATTTTGCTTCATTTATATACATGAGTAGAATTGATTAAAGTTTTGAATAAAATGAATATCAGATAAAGTACATTCAGGAATAATATTAGTGTTATGAATAATATACAATCAGATGAGAAATAAGATGTTTTTTTATAATAAAATAAGTAACTTGTTAGAATGTTGTAACGTGAATTGAATACATTTCAAAATTGTTTATTGTTCTCTGATTTGATCGGTAATAATATCTTCTATATCTCTGGTATTTGCATTGAGTCATTGCTGTTGCGTGCGCTGGGTGCAGACTCGATCAATCAGGATTCAGTAATCAGTATCTCTCTCCACCTAACTATAATACTCTTTAGAATTTTGACTCTGTCCCACCCTGTTGTGTGGCTGTGTGTTAATGCATGCAGTGCGATTGCTTAGTTTTTTTTCTAAATTACTTATCTTCGAGGGATCAATCGTTCTTACCTTGTCACAGTCTCACCACTCCTGATCTACTAGTTTGACCTATGTAGTTAACTTAACCCACAGTCATTGCAAGGTATTTTGTAAATTGCCTTATTTTGTTTCATTGTGTCCAACGGTTCTTTAGCTTACATAACTTGTCTCTAATTGAGTTTATAGGTTCTGAGTGCCACCCTATTTCCTGCTTTATTGACCATCCTCTATTGTCCCACCCCCTTATATTGATGTAACTGCAGATGCCTTAAATGTTCTCTTATTTATGCTATCATTATTGGCTCCAACATTAATTTTATTTTGCTTTTAACCTTTTTTGATATTCATAATGAATTTTATAGGATAGTTATTTAACATCGAAGCCTCTGCTATCTGTTTCATTCCATCGTTTAGGTTTTTTTAATGTTCGACTTAGTGCTATTGCTAGACACTTAACTAAGTCTGCTTTTATAAACGCTCGTGTGTAGTTTACCTTCTTCTGTTATTTCCCAACTTACTGTATTTTATTGATAACACTAATATTATTCCTGAATGTACTTTATCTGATATTCATTTTATTCAAAACTTTAATCAATTCTACTCATGTATATAAATGAAGCGAAATGTTGTGTGAGTGACGATATGATTATGAGTGGCAATTATTTGTGCTCGAAACGTCATCAGTATATATCACTGTACAACACTGTGTGACACATTGTCAAAATGAAATCTTATCCATAGTGGAAATGAATTATATACTCACATGAATTACACGTTATCAACGTGTGTAGAGTATGGTAGCCCTTGAACGTACATCGATTATAATTTCAGATATCAGATTGCTAGAAAGTTGGATTTGACGCTGTGCATGTTAGCGCCAATTACGAGAATTATGTCTTTACGTAAAAAGCCGATCCAAGATTAGAATTTATTTTCTGGGGAAATATTTCGTTGCATATATATATATATATATATTGTAATAGTTAATATATTATCTGACTTGATTTAGTTTAGTCATAGGTGGCAGTGATGGAAAACCTCCGTGACCACAAACTGCATATATTCAGTTACCTCACGATCCCGTTTTACGTATTATTTATTCGTGATTCATTAAGCCTGTGTTCTAGTTAATTATTAAGTACTTGTGCATTGTTGTAATCTTCACACTTGGTTTTTTCGTCCTTTGTGATACATTTCGTGGAAATAATATTTTGACAGGAGTAAAATGATATGGCATGATTGCTTACTTTATGTCTTATTTCCAGCCTTCTTATGTAAGCTATACAGAACAGTTTTTAAAGTTGTTATTGTTTTTTGTATTATTGAACAAATGATAGTTTAATAACCATACAGTATGTCTCCCTTGATTTAAGTTACAATTTAAATCAAGCACTTGAGTGAACTCAATTGATTAAGTACAAGGAACCTACTGTTGAATTATTACAGCAATTCGAAAGCTGACTTATTCACAGATCACACGACACTCTATCCCTTATTTTGTTAAACGCAATCGAATGATTGATATTAAGTGCACAAAAACATCACGTTAAATTTGTGGACTAAAGGAATAATTTATGAAACGTAATGTGGCGTGTACGCATTTCGTTTCATTGAAGTTATGCTGCAAGTAGACTTTGATAATATTGTAACGAAAGAAGACTAGGGCCAGGCAACAAATCGTTTAGTGGGAGAATCAAGAGATATATTGTAGACTTTCATGTATATTATTATTCGTTATTAAGAGCGGAGAAGCAGCGTATTCTGATTGGTTGTTTTCTTGCTGAAGGCTGTTCTATCATCTCTTTGTAAGCGTTTCTAAGAAAGTCATGTCATGTATCTGCGAGTTGTATTTGCACACGCTAAGTCTGCTGTGATTGGTTGGTGAGTTTCTCAAGGTTAAGCCTTGATGTTGTTTTTTCTCATAACCAAGATTCAGGGCGTGAATATTGACGTAACTCGTAGTCTACAATTTTGGCTAGCAGAGAGCTCTCACCAGAATGTATCACTAGAGTGAAATAATCCCAGTTGCCGACGATTTATAGAGTTTCTTTGTTTGTCTCGAAGAAGTAAAGGACACACTGAAGAAGAGTGTTTTTAACCTGTATGAGCCTCTTGTAGTCAAAGTGATAGTGGTGTATCGCTATTCGTGTCCGAATTTATAATATCTCAAGATGTCATATAGTCAGTTTGGTTGATTTGTGGGATTCCATGTTAACATGAATAGAAATGACTGACATTTTACTAGGAAACTCACATTAGAAATTTATTGACTCAACGCGGAAGTCTTCCTGAGTCTTTATACGTTTTGCAATTTCTAGTAAACAAAAAATAGTAATTGATTTTCATCAGTTCTAAATTGCATTCTTGAAAAGGTTTGAGACGGCATGCTTCATATTTGGAATATCTTGATAATCCGGTTATGCCTTTTATTCAATTATGATTCACTTATCATATGAGTTCTTAAAACCTCAGCAATTCAAATCGTCAAACTAAGCTTTATAATAAATATTTATCAACCACTTTATGCAAATAAGTTATCGGTAGGAATAACTAATCGGTGTGAAATATAAATTTTTGGATTGTGCATAGAAGAGGTAAGTTGTAATGAACCAGCAATGAAAATGATATAAATGATGCTTTTAGTGAAACGTAAACGATATACTGGCCCATGTATAGCAGCCTAATCAGATTCACGTTGAATTTCACAGTACCATCCTGAATAAAATCAATTTGTTTCATTCCAGAAACCAACAATGAGTATGGTCATTACATTTTGAAAGCTCCTCCAGTAGAGCATCACTTGCTGTTCTACTCGGAAAACGCCTACACAAAATCCACAAAAATGACAAACAACGATGAAATCCGTCACTTCGTACATGCAAAATAATAAAAATGGTTGACCACACACCACGTATTTAGGGACGTGCATTTCATATCTTAAAATCTACACTCACTGTAAATGATATGCATTGTGTCAATATGAAATATTTCAAGGAGAATATTGTTGTTGTTTCATCAGAGGAGGCTATCGATATTTCCCGAAGTTTGTTGGATTTCTGGTTACGTTCTGAAGAATTATAGACCTAGTGGTATATATTTGAATCGTCACTCTCGACGAATAAATTGTTGTTGAATTCTTTGTAGCATAACGTGGCACCTGATGATAATTTTGTATGCCTATTTTTCTGAAATTTTCAGATATCTGATTGTGAAGCTTTCCGTGTAAACGCAGACGGCGAAGATTCCTACTTTCGTCAGAAAACTAACGTTAAGGAATGTTTTTTCTGTTGAAGATGTCTATATATTAAAATATACGCTTCCGATTTCAAGTAATCGGATCACTATCTGCATTCACTTCTGGGAAACTGCTTTGAATTTCTTGAACCATTTTGTGAATAGTAGGTCTCTTATTGTCATGTGACTGAATATCTCAAAGGTTTCATGTAGGCGAGATGATTTTTCCATTACCTTGATCAGCGGTTTCGCGTCATCACAGTTTTACCCATATTCCTCTTCTGCCAATATTTTTTAAAATATTTTAACATAGTGCTTTTGAATTTGATCGATGGACCATATTGTTCAATCACTTACTGAATTCTTCTTGCTTACAGGGATTTGTATGTATATTTTTATCATTATGCTTTGATAATTTAATATTATTAATTCTTGTGGATTCGAGTGAAAAATAAGGCATCCAGAGCACGTTTACGCTTTGTCCTATTCTCTGCCGTTCTATTCAGCTGCCTTCGAGATTTCATTTATTCTCTTAAGTCCTCCTGACACGATCTCATCCGTGTCATCCGAGAACGATCCACTCGTCACTTCCTATTGAGATTCCACTCGACCGATCGTCTGTCGTACGATGTCACTAGACGGCCTCCTCAACGTATGCCCAATCAATTGCCGTTTTCATTTACATATATTTTGAGCAATCGGCTGTTATTCGGCTCGTTGTCAGAGTTTTCCACTGCTAAATACTGCTGGGTGTCTGGCTGGCCAATTGATCTTCAGTTTGAAGTCAGAGAAGGTGGCTGCCAATAAATGTTTGCAACCTGTCGAAATCCTTTTTGTGACACTCAGTGTAAGTTTTCGACCCAAAAATAAGAACTGGTTAAATTAACATTTGAGTTGAATATTCAAATCTTGTTCCGTACACTGGCTGAGTGGAGAAGATTACCCAACTGGCTTCAGCTTGATACAGGCTTATCTCACTTTTCTGATTCTGACTGGTTTTGACATCTTTATCCGCTCTATCTCTATATGAGACGATGGTTCCTAAATAAATGAAGGAAGTAAACTCATTCAAATATTTCCCTATCATACTGGTTGATGTTAGTTGTTCTTGTTGTCCATTGGTTATGCTCATCATCTCCATCTTCCCTATTTTCACTTGGAGTCCTCTCTTCTCTGCTTCCTCGGTCAGTTTGCTGGTTTTCACCTGCAAACTTTCCATTTTGCATGACTTGAAATTTGAATCATCTGTGAAATCACAATCTTCTAGAGTCTTCTTGTCGGTGATCCACCGTATTTCTGACTCCTCACTCCCCGCGATCTGACGCATAGTACTTAGCCAGTTCGTCTTACTCGTGCATTCACTTCGAAAGCCTCGCTGAGTTTCCCGTTGCAGATCAACTGACATGTGGCATTGTCATATAGCTGTTGAATGAACTTGATAAAGATTTGGGCAGTGCAAGCCTTAGTGTGGAAGTAGTTTCCAAACTTCTTCTCGGTCAATTCTGTAGAAGGCCTTTTCGAAGTCAATAAAGTTGAGGTGCATGTTGATCGCCATTCTATGCTTTGTTCGATGACGACGCTCACAGTTACAATTTGATCAGCACGCGATTTGCTTTTCAGGAATCCAGCTTGTTGCCAGGGTGTCATCAGATTGTCTTCTGTTTCTCCAAGTACTCTTCTTCACTTATTCACTTTGTGCAGTGAACATTAAACTCAGCTTCTGCTTCTGTTGCCCATCTTTGCACGGAGTCATCTCCTCTTTGTTACCATCCTCCCCTCTTCTATTAGCTTCCAGACATCCATTGAGAACTATTCCTTGTCGTGTCTGTTCTCTCTTCCTATAACAATTGTAACAGTTTCCTTGAACATCACCTTCACAGAGTCTCAGGTTTCCTCAGTGATGCCACATGGTGTCTTCACCTTTGCGCTAATAAAGACAGCAAAGATATCCCTTGTAATTTTGTCACTCAGTTTCTTAATGTTGAACTTTAATTGATATACATGCCGAATTCGAACGTCAATCTCTGATTATATTAGGTTTCTTCAGGTTGTATGTTTTTCTTCAAGTTTTCCTTTGGGATGTTCAGACATTTGGGTGTGGATCTTTGGGTTTTGCAGTAAATTGCAATGGTCGGGCATTATATTATCAACCGGACTATGAATTTTATACTTTGCTGAGAATGTCTTCTGGTCTGACATGTATGTCTTGCAATATATCATTGGTTATAATTTCTTCGTTGGCTTTTTAGTATGAATTTCTATGTGGCATCCTGTGGGTGTCAATGTGATATTTCCAAGTCTTTATTTGCTCTTTTAACTGCATATTTCAGAAAAGCTAATGTTTGTTTAGTGTCCCCTGAAAGTGTCTTTTCATGCTTTGTTAATCACATTGTTGGCGTACTTCTCGATGACGTTGGTTTGGCCGCTTTTCACCCCAATATTTAATTTCTTTTATTTCATGATGAACAGGGTATAGTACGTTCAATTTAAACCTGGTTACTTTTCCTGATTATTTAAGGAATTTCAACATGCTTATCATGCATAGACTGGAATACATATATTATTAATAACTTGCCTAAGTTTTATTGACTCACACTTTTGTTGTTTTAGTTTAAAAGTTCATAAAAGTTTATATTTTCATCCGTTATCAAGTTTCGGTCTCTTATCTGTCCGGCGATACTAGTCCATTCAGCCGTCTCCTTCTATTCTCTGTTTTTGAATTCTTTCCGCTGTTAATTTCCTTTGAATTTGTTCGACCACTTCTGGTTCTCAAATACTTCACCATCTTAATTTTGAAGATAGGTTTCTAACGTATTGACTTTAGGTAGTGAAATGTAGAGGATCGGTTCTCATTGAATCTCATGTAAACAAGTATTAGGGGAGATTTTCAATGTCCTACTGACTGTTTTGTAGTTCATATTTGAACTGTTAGATGCATATTTCTCAGAAATGTGTATCCAAATCAAGTACATCAAGAAATATACATGAATGTTTGGAAAGCTGTTTGTCAATTTATTGTCTATTCCTGAAAAATGGAAGGTGACACAGAATAAAACGAATAATCTAGGCTCTTTTTCATGGTTCATTCATGCCCTTTTGAGCCTTTTCAGTGATACGCGTCTGTATAATTTTATATAAGACGGCTTATGGTGATAATTGTAAATCTTTTATTGACTTCCGTTATAAAATTAACGCTATTTGTTTAAGTGACAGGGTAATAATTGATTCAAATAATCATGTCATGAACTTGTTGTGTGCTGAAATATATCCCGCTAAGTGGCTCTTTTGATTAAAGCATCGATGCCCAATGTCAAAAGCTCCACGATTATTCGAGTTCCTCATTTTCTCTTTTTTTGGAGAGATGTTTGTATTATTAGATGATTGGAGTCAATAGATTGGAAGTCTTGGACTTAGGTTTCAGTCTGCAACAAACCAAGGACTAGACAAATCACAATAATTACTAGTTTCCAATAAAAAATGTTCCTTAGTGTTATTGATTTTCGTTTGACATAAATATAAGCGTACTCTTTTTTGTTCGACTATCCTAGGCCTAATGTAAGTTTGATATTGTGATTACGTGTGTGATTTAAAGACATACTAATATTTTATATGCAAGGCCCCCATGTTAGGACCAAGTAACTTCACACTGAATCTGCGTATCGAATTTCATCCTCGTTACACTGAGCAAAGAAGTGTTAGGTGTAATGCCCCACGACTTTAATGTGTCATTCTGCTTTTTCCAAAATGGAATCACATTCAATTATTTTCACATAAAATGATTTCAGGTGAAGAATTATAATAACGTCGTTCAAAATATTTTCACCAAATATACATGTTTTCTCAAATTTTAATCCGGTGAGATCACTCCTCACTTATAAGTATGAAAACAAAAATTGTAAAATGACTACCCAATTCGTGTAGTTTGAGTATTGTGACATTTCGCAACACATGCATCATTAGAGACAAATAAGGAGCACATGTGAAAAGCTGGACTACATCTTGTTTGTGTTAGCTTGCAACTGCAAATAACATGGTGAAGTGTTTTAGGTTCCATATCCTGGCATTTCTAATACACACTCCGGATGACTTTTACTGCATGAAGCCAAAAACAGGAAATATCAGCAAAACAAATGTACCTTAGTATTTTGTCTCCTAATTCCAGAAGATTATATTTCATAATTTCAACATATATGTGAAAATGTTTCTGAGATTACTTTTTAATACTTTTGCTATTAGCCAGCTGAAACCCACTAGGTGAGTTAAAGTGATCAACACTAAGGTCTGGTCATTTAACATTTACTCAATGAAGACAGTTTTGTGAATTCTCTTTTTACAAATGAAGACTATCTAATATCGTTACTTGTCTTGATTTCAGCAGGATCACTTGCAATACTGTTCTGAAACAGTCACCATTTTCGCTTAAACTTGAATGAATTTGTACGCTGTCTTCAGCGTTTTTGTTTCTTTGAAGTAATTGTAATTGCTTTCTCCTTAATATAATGATTTTTGCATGTTTTCAATGCCTTTTTAATGCTTACAGCGAGACGTTTAATGCCATTAGAATTAATTTAGTCCAGTCACCTTTAGAATGAAACAGAAGTTCATTTTAGTCAATTGGTCAAAGTGTTAGTCAAAACGAAACGGGGAACGAAAAGTCATCTCATTCGTAAATGTTTTCATAGTCAACTTAGTTTCAGTACCAAAATGTTCATAATCTCTCTTAAATGATGACTGCATCCCATGCGCCTTGGCTTTCTTACCTTATCAGATATATTGGTGCCTGCCGGGGTCATTTAAAACGTGTACATGTGAGATCACTGTCCAACCTTCATGCTTCTTATTTAAGAAAGAAACTGCTCTGTTGTAATAATTTGTAATAGTAGTATTTGTATTTTGCAGTGACTGAATTACAGGAATTCAACCAAAACACATAGAGGGATGAATTTAGGAATTTGTATTTGGTAGATTTATATATCAATTCATATAAGAAATATATATTAACAAGCAACAGTAAGTATTTAACAAATACAGAGATAGAAATTGTCAATCATCACATGGTCATTCGTCAACAGTCTGTCATCTTCACTTCCGTGTCTCACGTGTCACCTTTCGGATATCGTGGTGGTTTTAGCTGCAAATAGTAATTACAATAAAGTTTCAGCGGATCTGCCAGGTAGAAAAGCTGTTTACTGTAGGAGAGTATCAGACATTTTGATGTGGTTTTGTTCTCTGAGCTGGATGGTTAGTTTGCGAAGCTTTCATCACCTTACTGGGTGACATCTTCAGCGCATACTTCAATTTGAAGTGAGCTTTTAGATTTCTCCACGAGTTTATTAATCATCTCTCCTGGTGACCTTGGACGTGATTGGTTGTTTGTGTGTGTTTTCACACCTTCTAGGTTACTTGTATTGGAACCGGTTGTTTCTTTGACTTGAACTTTGACCCTTTGTGTGTGAAGTTTCTTTCTTATTGGTTGATAAATTTTGTCTATCTCGATGTGTTTATTGATTGATGATCCACTGGAATGCCAAGCTTCTAAAATATTAGACAAAGGAAATAACAAGAATGCTAGGGAATTTTTAGAAGCCCGTCTGGCATTCCAGTGGATCATCAATCAATAGACACATCGAGATAGACAAAATTTATCAACCAATAAGAAAGAAACTTCACACACAAAGGGTCAAAGTTCAAGTCAAAGAAACAACCGGTTCCAATACAAGTAACCTAGAAGGTGTGAAAACACACACAAACAACCAATCACGTCCAAGGTCACCAGGAGAGATGATTAATAAACTCGTGGAGAAATCTAAAAGCTCACTTCAAATTGAAGTATGCGCTGAAGATGTCACCCAGTAAGGTGATGAAAGCTTCGCAAACTAACCATCCAGCTCAGAGAACAAAACCACATCAAAATCATCCACCTGAGCTACAAATCTTCTCTATCATATCTAGTATCAGACATCCATGTCAAATCGACTTTCATATTAAAGCTATCCCGCGAAAGTATCTTGTATGCATCATACAAGTGATAATTTTCACATGATTATATATAAGTATATTCTAACACATCAAACAGCAGGCAACAAATAAGCTGTAGCAAAAGTTTCTTTACAAATCTAATGAATATTTGAAAGATGCTGGAAGAGGTATGAAGTCATTCCTCATTAATGTGATAAATCCCGATTATTTGAATTTTTCACCAGAAGAGGGTTTAAAATTGAGAGAAAATGTGTTGGTATAAATAAAATAATAAGGATTAGTAGACATAATAAAAACAATATTTGTTGAACTTTGCATTGCAGATATTCACCAAAATAAATTGACTGAATTCTCATATGACTTGGAAGAAATGAAGATCCTCTTTAAGTATTAGGAAGGTTAAACTACGCATGTGGCGAGTAAATTTGTGTACACTTTTTCATATAAACGGATGCACAATCAATAATTAAGCAACGAAAGTGAAAAATAAATCGTCAACGGAATGGCCAGTGAAGCTATGCCACTTTCAATAAATTATGTAGCGCGCGATTCTGATCGGACGTTACAATCTCTCCCCATAACGTGGATATATTTTTATCGATTTCCGGCATAATGTAGTGGATATTATACCACTCCTCAAATATAACCATATTGGCTGCTACCTCATTTCTGCAGATATATCACCGCCAGTTATCAAGTTTGGATCCACTCTTTCGCAGGGTTCATCCTCCTTATTGTAACTTTAAAACAACGTCACTCAAAAGAAAACTATAGAGAAGTCCATTATTTTGTGATTTACATATCAGGATCAATTTTCAGGATAATTGGTTTCTATATACTCTGTATTTTACGGTTTAATACTTTGTAAATTTATTGTTTATTAATAAGCAACAAAATTCAATACTGTGTCCATAGTAGTACTTAATCTGTATATCCACTCGATATACTATTTGTCCGTATACCTGTTTTCGATTTAGCTCAGCTTCAACTTTACACCTTACTGATCAGTGTTCAGCAATGGCACAACGTAATAAAGGAGTACTTTCCATACGTAAGAATAGTTTAGGTCACTCAGCGAAGAAGATACGTACATCACTATGCGCTTCACGTACCCTCAACAGTGTCCCGGAAGTCATTGTGCCCGATTTGTTATCAGAGGTATATGCAACTGCTAAACAAAATAAGTTGGACCTTATTTCTCTAGGAAACTCTGTGAAGGAATTAACTGAGAATATAAATGCCATTGAGCCGTTACTGCTTCTTTGTAACCCAACTCATGATACTAATCTGGAAAGTCTTCTGAAGTCTGAGTGTATGTTTGACATTATAGCCAATGAAGTGACTAAACGAATCATGTCCACGTTCAACGTTCTCACTTACAATCTGCATGATCGGACGCCTCTGGACAAAATCAAAGTGACATGTCTACAAGCGTGTGGCATGCCATCAGCGAATTGCCACCTAATCAGACTCAGGAAAACATCAGGAAAGTATACTTGCCTTGTGCTGTTTAAATTCAGTAGTCCTAATGATGCTAAGAAATTCCAGTCGTCAAACAAGTTGATTAGTTCATCTACACCTTATGGTAACCTTAAACTTGCCCATGACCTAGCGCCATGTCTGAGACGTAGCCGCGCATGTGTATCAGGTGTCGCAAAGACGTACGCAACTGCAGAATGTCCTACAAAAGACTATCTCTCCTTACACTTAAATAAACCTAATGCTACAAACACGCATGAAAACGAAATATCCTTAAATAATAAAGCTTTACCTAGTAACCTCAACAGTGAAGCAACTACGGTCATAGACTTAGATGAATCTTTAGAGTTTTGCTCGCCAGACACATCACCATCAGCCGCTAATACCACTACCAAAGGTACGCAAAAGGCTAAGCTCGAGCATGTAGCATTAAATATAACCTCCCCGAGTAGCACTCAGACTAGTGAGCATACAAAACGAAGTAACGTAACCCTGCCATCCAGAATACCTGTTCTAAAACCTGTCACTGTTAGGTTTCTCAGCAGCAAACCAAATAATTTAAACTTAAGCAACTCCAATCATACCGCTGACTCAGAGAGCAGAATAACTCTTCATACCGCCATAAATATAACGTCAATGAAAAGAGAGGTAACCCGCCGATTCATCCAAACCCTAACAAATCTTCGTCCGATAGGCACAACAGACGCTACATGTCTGGGCACCCTAAAAATAAGTTGAAGCCCGACGGGCAGGCATACCCCTACCCCAAAACAACTCTCCAATATATGGCTATTATAGATAAAAGTTTGATCCAGGGACCTCTACAACAAGGAACAAGTGGGTTAGGCATGTTTCCTAAAGGTGGCCTTCTGACTCACCACATCCCCGAAAACCATCGCATACAGACCACCCAAGATCATCGATGGACTAATATTTACGAAAATAACTTAAACACACAAAATATTAGTCATAACTGCGATACACGTAACTCCACCCCAGCATACTATCCACAAGGAATACCTACCTCCCCCCCATCCAATCTAAATTTTCTCAGCCAACACGAAATTTCAGCCTCAATATTGACGCAAATAGCACACATACTGTCAAGCCACTTATCACCGGATAGGAGGGCGATGCATTGGAGGCACGGTATTATGAACACCTCACACCCGCCGGGGTAACAAACGATGGCACATCTCTCTGTGCTGATACTGGTGTAGGGCACTTTTCCAGCAGTGCTAGTAAGTGGCCACCATCTGAGTTAGCACCCATCAAACAATCTGTTCTAGACGCCATAAACCTTGGAGAGAATTTTTTAAAGATATATGCGATTTCACCGTCACCCCTAACTCTCTCTCATTCTGTCTTATCAATGCTCGCTCCTTACTCAACAAAATGTTCGACTTCACGACATTATCCCCAATTTGCAATTCGTCTCTCATAATGATTACTGAGACATGGTGCACTCCTCAGATTTGCGATAAAGATATTTCTATTGATAACTATTATGTATTCAGAGGCGACAGAAACTATGGTAGAGGAGGAGGATGTGCTATGTATATCAGGTCTGATATTAAGGCCACACAGTGCTTCTACCCAGAGCTCATCACAGATAACGATTCAGTGTGGGCTATTCTAAGACTGTCTCACTCCAGTTCCTATCTTATAGGTTGCATCTATCACCCCCGTGCTCAACTGTTGAAGGTAATATGAAGCTTGCTAGCACGTTCGCTTACGCCACTTCACTACCTCACACGGCTAAAATTATATGTGGGGACTTTAATATGCCCGATGTAGTCTGGCAACCACTTTCCTCACCAAAACGGTACAATGAATTTATCAACATAATAGAAACAAAAGAATGGCAACAACACGTACAGTATCCTACCAGGCTATCTAAGATTTTAGATCTAGTTTTCACTAATGGTATCATCCCACTACCCTTCGAGTAGGTAAAGAGTTTCCTGGCAGCGAC